ACTGGTTGTGTCATTCTCGTGGAGCCTTCTCTGGCGTGCTACAATGGCATCGCGTTGTCTGCTTCCTCCGTTCAGAACGAGTAGCGACTTCGTTGCTGACTGGTATCTTCGTCGTCGTTCCCTCGGGCTTCGTCAGCCGTTGTTGCCCTGCTACGCCTCCAGCTGGCAGAGGGAGATGAGCAGGTTCTGTTCGCCGACTTTTCGCAGTCTGCCTCAGTTCCCGAAGATCCTGCGATGCCCTTGGTAACCCCCTAGCGACGACCGAGCCGGTATGATTTTCGAAGGCGTCAATTCCATGAGTGACAGGTGGCTAAATTTTACGGAGACTTGCCACAATCTGGAACCGTCTTCCTTTCTCAGCCAGGCTTGGGACCTTCAACGTCGGAGTTTTGTGTTCATCGAAAGTTTGAATTTATCTGAATAATTAAGTTTTTGGTAAAAAATAGCTTTGCCGTGTGTGTTCACATGCTGCATCGCAGTGTACCGCTGCTATCGTTCACTGTTCATTTTAGCCGTGAAGCGTCTGATGCGGGAAGCTGCTGAACTGCAGGATCCAACGGAGCTTTTCGCGGCAAGGCCTCTTGAGGTTGTCTTTCAGTTTAAATGCGATTACGCTTTGTATGTCCGTTTTTAAGGAAAATTTGTTCGAATGGCATTTCACCGTGAGAGGAACTGCAGACACCGATTTTGACGGCGGAATCTATCACGGCCGTATAATATTGCCTCCTGAGTATCCAATGAAGCCACCAAGCATTATCATGCTTACGGTATATACGCGTTTGTGATTATGTTCATAGCATTATTCTGAGTACTAATGGCCAGCGCACGAAGGATTAACTATTTTTACCAGCGAACCCGATTCTGATGCGAGTTTGATACTGACGCAGTCGTTCCACAAATAAAAAGCAGTTCATTAAGCATAACACATTTTAATAAGTTTGTACAACGTCGTAGCGTAATAATTTCTGTAGTATGAGAAACTTCAACTAAGGGAATTGGTCTCTACCTCTCATGCGTTCTTCAGGGCAGTTACATTGGCTCTCATCGGCCGCAGTTGTTGCTCCTTACGAATCAGAATGTGTTAAGATTTTCTGGTTTTTCGGCTGACAGACAGACAAGTTCTACAGCGGCTTGCAAGAATTGTATGCTCGGGTGTGTAGTTTTTCATGACCGGTGTAGGTCATGCTGTTAATCTCAAGGTAATGTATCCTTGACTGCGCTTCTATATTGCAGCCTCTTGCTTGAGAACCATGGAGGGTCCCTTCGAAAAACTGTGCTGTAAAGCATTCTGTTATTATTCACTGTAGCGCGCAGTCGAGTCAGTACATTAATCGTTTTCGAATTAACTACAGGAAGCTATTTAAGCCATTCTGGTGTTGCAGTTTCCTTCAGTCATATAATATAACTAGTTTATTGATTGCTTAATTGCTCTCCCAAGAGCTCACATCGGTTCTCTTTTTAACCAGTGAGCCGTGACGAGCGTAAATAATCTCATGCTTAAGCGAAGGAACTGTAGAGTATACCTTCCTATGGCGGTGGCAGTGATATGCGTTTCATGAACCCTGAAATGGTTTGACAGAGAGGCAACAGTGATCGCATCAAACCTCCGTGCGTCTGTAGGGCATTAGAAAGCTAGTAACATAAAGCCTGACTGAAGAGGTGTGTGTGTGTGTGGGGGGGGAGTTGGAGAATGAACCGTTCATATTGGTCGCCAAAGTTAGAATAAGGAAGTGTTTGCAACAGGCGGTCTGCCTTCTATCCTTGAACTAAGGATGAAATTTCTTGAAACTGCATCGAAGAAAAGATTCGTACGTCTGTTCGTTGCATTCGTAAGCAGACAGAAATAAAACTCAGTTACGTCAGTAAGGTCACAGGAAACCAGGGAAGTGGCGCGAAATTTGTGCATACTCTATTAACTCACGCGAATAGATTGTAATATCTTTTGCTGTTGTTAATAGCTTATTAACCCTATATGTATGAGTTTGATTTTTAGCAACTAAATAAAATATGATCAGTACTATGCTTGCTTGTATAGTTCAACATATTGCTTGCATAGTCAAATTTATGTTGTTGCTAATAATCTTGCCAGTGTAGAAATAGTATGTGATATGCTCCTTGTGTTCAGACTTGCATACCAGCGATAGCCAATGTCTGCTAAGATTTTATAATGAAATTAATATTTCACCCTTTATTTTCAGCCAAATGGCCGTTTCGAG